TGATTAATACCACACTTCCTCACCCACCATGCTCACCACGGACCATTTCCAATTATGTCACACATAAAAGAGACCCTGTGATAGAGGCACATCATATAACGACAACTATCAGAATAACCATCTAGTAGGAAGACATTTTGCTCGTTTGTGAATGAAACATGTATCCAAGGAACTATGCAGTCCATCCCACCTGCTCGATTTGTACCTCGATTTGTTCTGGCACTACCCAATCTCTTCATCCCGCAACTTTATGGCACCATATTGTTTATATTTTCTCAGCAAGCACTGACTTAGTGAGAAGCCAGTGTTAATGATTCCACTGACTGAAAGAAATAATTTTCTTAGCTTGTCATTGTAAGTGTTCACTCTGGTTGCCTTTTCCCAGTTTTTCAATCAATACTATTACCTAAGTGTCCCATATCTGAAATACTAGTTTATATTTCCATCAGTTGAAATGTGGTACTTTGGTTTACTCATAGCGTTGGTTCACTATGAACTGTAGGGACAGGTATGATCACCCCATTGTGACTGAGTTCCTAACGAGACCCATAAACATGCACTCAGACACAAGTGCAGGTGCAGGTGAATATCACATTCTGGGCCAGTAGAGATCACTTATAAGTGGTCCGTAAAATTAACTTGTTGTCCAGATAAGAAATATTGACGGAATCAAGTTGGGTTATGAAAATGTCGTGAAACGAAGCTGTACAAATTAGACACCATCATAAAATATGCAGTAATGTTGCACCTGCGCAGACGTGCACAGTCAGATACTTCACAAAGTAAAGTTATCTGTAGACTTTGTTAAGTCACGTTCGGCTCTAACACAAAGTAATACAACAAATCTATTCAACCATCTTAAAAGGAAGCATCCGACACAAGTGTTTAAAATAACTTTCAACTCAGGATTTAATTAGCATTTTGAAAAGTGTCTCTATTGCAATATTCCACAACGACTAGTAAACTTTAAGCTTTCATTTCACAGCCAGAAGGGATCCATACCACTCCATTTTCAGATCCATCCATCTTTCAAATGATAAAATGCTAATCAATTAGTTCATCACCTAATCACATGATTAATCCATCCATCCATCATCTGAAAGCGCTTATCCTATTCAGGGTCACGGAGGGGTCCGGAGCCTATCCCTGAGGCTACGGGTGCAAGGCAGGGAACAACCCAGCATGGAGCACCAACCCATCGCAGTACATGATCACTCAGTTATCAAAATAATATTTTTTTGCAGTTCTAGAACAGACTCACAGAGTAGTGACACCAGTTCACCTAACAGGCATGTGGGAAAGATGGCAATGGGTCCTACTCTCTCACACCTCCAGGGTTAACCATCTAACTACTGCCTTTAACATGCCAACATGTCTCCCATCTAACTACTGCCTTTAACATGCCAGCATGTCTCCCATCTAACTACTGCCTTTAACATGCCAGCATGTCTCCCATCTAACTACT